CTCTTGGTTATTAAGTAGTGTGTTATTTAGCCTCCATGTGTTTGTATTTCTTTCAGATTTTTTCCTGTAATTGATATCTAGTTTCATAGTGTTGTGGTTGGAAAAGATACTTGATACAATTTCAATTTTTTTAAATTTACCAAGACTTGATTTGTGAGCCAAGGTATGATCTACCCTTGAGAATGTTCCATGAGCACTTGAGAAGAAAGTGTATTCTGTTGTTTTTCGATGGAATGTCCTATAAATATCAGTTAAGTCCATCTTATTTCATGTATCACTTAAAGCTTGTGTTTCCTTATTTATTTTCATTTTGATCTGTCCATTGGTGAAAGTGGGGTGCTACAGTCCCCTACTATGATTGTGTTACTGTCAATTTCCCCTTTTATGGCTGTTAGTATTTGCCTTATGTATTGAGGTGCTCCTATGTTGGGTGCATAAATATTTACCATTGTTATATCTTCTTCTTGGATTGATCCCTTGATCATTATGTAGTGTCCTTCTTTGTCTCTTGTAATAGTCTTTGTTTTAAAGTCTATTTTGTCTGATACGAGAATTGCTACTCCACCTTTCTTTTGATTTCCATTTGCGTGGAATGTCTTTTTCCAAACCCTCACTTTCAGCCTGTATGCGTCCTTAGGTCTTAGTGGGTCTTTTGTAGACAGCACATATACGGGTCTTGTTTTTGTATCCATTCAGCCAGTCTAAGTCTTTTGGTTGGAGCATTTAATCCATTTACGTTTAAGTTAATTATCGATATGTATGTTCCTATTACCATTTTCTTAATTGGTTTGGGTGTGTTATTGTAGATCTTTTCCTTCTCTTCTGTTTCCTGCCTAGAGAAGTTCCTTTAGCATTTGTTGAAAAGCTGGTTTGGTGGTGCTGAATTCTCTTAGCTTTTGCTTGTCTGTAAAGGTTTTAATTTTCCATTGAACCTGAATGTGATCCTTGCTGGGTAGAGTGATCTTCATTGTAGGTTTTTCCCTTTCATCACTTTAAATATGTCCTGCCAGTCCCTTCTGGCTTGCAGAGTTTCTGCTGAAAGATCAGCTGTTAACCTTATGGGGATTGCCTTGTATGTTATTTGTTGTTTTCTCCTTGCTGCTTTTAATATTTTTTCTTTGTATTTAATTTTTGATAGTTTGATTAATATGTGTCTTTGTATGTTTCTCCTTGGATTTATCCTGTATGGGACTCTGTGCTTCCTGGACTTGATTAACTATTTCCTTTCCCATATTAGGGAAGTTTTCAACTATAATCTCTTCAAATATTTTCTCAGTCCCTTTCTTTTTCTCTTATTCTTCTAGGACCTCTATAATTTGAATGTTGGTGCATTCAATGTTGTCCCAGAGGTCTGTGAGACTGCCCTCAATTCTTTTCATTCTTTTTTCTTTATTCTGCTCTGCAGTAGTTATTTCCACAATTTTATCTTCCTCGTAACTTATCTGGAATATCTACCTCAGTTATTCTGCTATTGTTTCCTTCTAGAGAATTTTTAATTTCATTTATTGTGTTTTTCATCATTGTTTGTTTGCTCTTTAGTTCTTCTGTTTACAAGATTTTGGATCATCTTTACTATCATTATTCTGAATTCTTCTTCAGGTAGACTGCCTATTTCCTCTTCATTTGTTTGGTCTGGTGGGTTTTTACCTTCTTCGTCTGCTGTGTGTTTCTCTGTCTTCTCATTTTGCTTAACTCACTGTATTTCGGGTCTCCTTTTCGCAGGCTGTAGGTTCGTAGTTCCTGTTTTTGGTGTCTGTCCCCAGTGGCAAAGGTTGTTTCAGTGGGCTGTGTAGGCTTCCTGGTGGAGGGGACTAGTGCCTGTGTTCTGGTGGGTGAGGCTGGATCTTGTCTTTCTGGTGGGCAGGTCTGCATCCGGTGGTGTGTTTTGTGGTGTCTGTGACCTTATTTTGATTTTAGGCAGCCTTTCTGCTACTGGGTGGGGTTGTGTTCCTGTCTTGCTAGTTGTTTGGCATAGCGTGTCCTGCACTGTAGCTTGTAGGTTGTTGAGTGGAGCTGGGTCTTGGCGTTGAGACAGAGATCTATGGGAGATGTTGGCCATTAGATAGTACGTGGAGCCGGGAGGTCTCTGGTGGACCGGTGTCCAGAACTCGGCTCTCCCATCTCATAGGCACAGGCCTGACGCCTGACCAGAGCACCAAGACCCTGTCATCTACATGGCTCAGAGTAAAAGGGAGAAAAAAAAGAAAGAAAATAAATAAATAAACAAAATAAAGTTATTTTAAAAAATGTTAAAAATTTAAAAAAATAAAAATTTAAAAAAACAGAAGAGAGCAGCCAAACCAAAACAGAAATCCACCAATGATAAGAAGCGCTAAAAACTATACTAAAAATATAAATAAGTAAAAGGACAGACAGAACTCTAGCACAAATGGTAAAAGCAAAGCTATACAGACAAAATCACACACAGAAGCATACACATACACACTCAGAAAAAGAGAAAAAGGGAAAAAATATATATCGTTGCTCCCAAAGTCCACCCCCTCATTTTGTGATGATTCGTTGTCTATTCAGGTATTCCACAGATGCAGGGTACATCACGTTGATTGTGGAGATTTAATCCGCTGCTCCTGAGGCTGCTGGGAGAGATTTCCCTTTCTCTTCTTTGTTCTCACAGCTCCCGGGGTTCAGATTTGGATTTGGACCCGCCTCTGCATGTAGATCGCCTGAGGGCATCTGTTTTTGCTCAGACAGGACGGGGTTAAAGGAGCAGCAGATTCGGAGGCTCTGGCTCACTCAGGCCGTGGGGAGGGAGGGGTATGGAGTGTGGGGCAAGCCTGCGGCCGCAGAGGACAGCATGACGTTGCACCAGCCTGAGGCGCGCCGTGTGTTATCCCGGGGAAGTTGTCCCTGCAGCATGGGACGCTGGCAGTGGCGGGCTGCGCAGGCTCCTGTTAGGGGAGGCGTCTATAGTGACCTGTGCTCGCACACAGGCTTCTTGGTGGCTGCAGCAGCAGCCTTAGCATTTCATGCCCGTCTCTGGTTTCCATGCTGATAGCCACGGCTCACACCCGTTTCTGGAGCTCATTTAGGCAGCGCTGTTAATCCCCTCTCCTTGCGCACCAGGAAACAAAGAGGCAAGAAAAAGCCTATTGCCTCTTTGGCAGCTCCAGACTTTTTCCTGGACTCCCTCCTGGCTAGCCGTGGTGCACTAACCCCCTGCAGGCTGTGTTCACGCCGTCAACCCCATTCCTCTCCCTGGGATCTGACTGAAGCCCAAGCCTCAGCTTCCAGCCCCTGCCTGCCCCGGCGGGTGAGCAGACAAGCCTCTCGGGCTGGTGAGTGCTGGTCGGCACCGATCCTCTGTGCAGGAATCTCTCCGCTTTGCCCTCCGCACCCCTGTTGCTGTGCTCTCCTCTGTGGCTCCGAAGCTTCCCCCCTCTGCCATGCGCAGTCTCCGCCCGTGAAGGGGCTTCTAGTGTGTGGAAACCTTTCCTCCTTCACAGCTCCCTCCCACTGGTGCAGGTCCCGTCCCTATTCTTTTGTCTCTGTTTTTTCTTTTTTCTTTTGCCATACCCAGGTACGTGGGGAGTTTCTTGCCTTTTGGGAAGTCTGAGGTCTTCTGCTAGCATTCAGTAGGTGTTCTGTAGGGGTTGTTCCACATGTAGATGTATTCCTCATGTATTTGTGGGGAGGAGGGTGATCTCCACGTCTTACTCCTCTGCCATCTTGAATGACCCCTCCAGCAGGTTATTATCCATTTTATACTTATCAGTGTATATATGTCAATCCCAATCTCTCAATTCATCACACCAGCACCCCCTCGCCTCTTTCCCCCCTTGTTGTCCATATGTTTGTTTTCCACATCTATCAATGTCTGCCCTGCAAACAGGTTCATCTGTACCATTTTTCTAGGTTCCACATAAATGCATTAATATATGATATTTGTTTTTCTTTCTGACTTACTTCACTCTGTATGACAGTCTCTGGGTCCATCCACATCTCTACAAATGACCCAATTTCCTTCCTTTTAATGGCTGAGTAATATGCCATTGTATATATGTACCGCATCTTCTTTATCCATTCGTCTGTCGATGGACATTTAGGTTTCTTCCATGACCTGGCTATTGTAAATAGTGCTGCAATGAACAATGGGGTGCATGTGTCTTTTTGAATTATGTTTTTTTCTGGGTATATGCCCAGTAGTGGGATTGCTGGGTCATGTGGTAATTCTATTCGTAGTTTAAGGAACCTCCATACTGTTCTCCATAGTGGCTGTATCAGTTTACATTCCCACCAACAGTGCAAGAGGGTTCCCTTTTATGCACACCCTCTCCAGCATTTGTTGTTTGTAGATTTTCTGATGATAACATTCTTACTGGTGTGAGGTGATACCTCATTGTAGTTTTGATTTGCATTTCTCTAATAATTAGTGATGTTGAGCAGCTTTTCATATGCTTTTTGGCCATCTGTATGTCTTCTTTGGAGAAATGTCTGTTTAGGTGTTCAGCCAACTTTTGGATTGGGTTTTTTTTTAAAATATTGAACTGCATGAGCTGTTTATATATTATGGAGATTAATCCTTTGTCCGTTGATTTGTTTGCAAATGTTTTCTCCCATTCTGAGGATTGTCTTTTCGTCTGTTTGTAGTTTCCTTTGCTGTGCAAAAGCTTTTGTTTCATTAGATCCCACTTGTTTATTTATTTATTTATTATTTCCATCACTCCTAGGAGGTGGATCAAAAAAGATCTTGCTGTGATTTATGTCAAAGAGTGTTCTTCCTGTGTTTTCCTGTAAGAGTTTTATAGTGTCTGGTCTTACATTTAGGTCTCTAATCCATTTTGAGTTATTTTTAAAAAAAATTTCTGATACAAGATGAACTACTTGTAGTGTTGTATTTTGTGTCTGATTTTGACATGGAATGCAATGCCACAATGACAGGCATGAAGAATTCTTTTTTTTTTCAAAATTAATGTTCCTTTTTTTTAAATGAAACCTGTTAAATTTTAATTAATTTTTGCCATTTTGTTTTCTGACCCAAGGGCCTTTTGGAGAGCGAGATGATCAACAGGTGTTTATCCAGAAAGTTGTTCCCATCACTAACAAACTGTTTGTAAGACTCTCATCTACTGGGAAGAGGTAACACTTTACTGTAAAGATATTATATTCAGAAGTCACATTTGTCTTGCAAAACACGTTAAGTCATTTGACACTGATAAATAGTGGTATCAGAAACAGATCTTTGAGAGAGATGTCTATTCTTTATCTTGTGGTCATTTTAACTTAAAAGTTAATACAGTATACTTAGTGCTTATTCTCTACAATCTACTTATGATTTTCACTGCTGTGGACTTTCAGGAAGAACTAGTGATATGATAGTAGAACAGATACACAGTGAACTGGATGGTAGACAAGTGAAATTCTAATTCCGGCACTTCCTCTTACTAGCTATGTAAATTCAACTTAACTTACTTTGTTTCTGTGAGCCTCAGTTTCTTTTAAAGTTTAACGACCTTGCCGAGATTTCACTGAGTGAAAAACATGCAAAATACCTTGCATAGTCCCTGACTATAATTGATGCTCAATAGGAGTTAGTTTCCTCTTTTTCATTTGACTAAAATCTTACTTCACGTAAAATTATTATTTACAGCCTCAAACATATTGTGCTGTAACATTTCTCCTCTTTAAGAACAAAATTTTTTGCATGTCAAGGAAGTGAAAAAAGTAAAATTCCTATTAGTAGTTACTAAGTAGGTTACAAATTTTTATATTAATGTTACTAATGCTAGTGACATTTTAAATAATTTCTCTATTATCTTCAGCATGTGATCGCTGATTTCTTAATATTTTAATGATAAAGTCTTTGAGATGATAAATTTTCTTTCCATCAAAGTTCATTGCATGTAGTCATCAGTGATTGTTAAATGAATTGATTCCAGAAAATGATTTTTGTGTTCTAAACTTTTTTTTTTTTAAGAAAATGTTATTAGGAACCTACAGTGTAGTTACAGGCCAAATTTTTATCTGGAGAAATGCGTCCCTGCGCTTTAGTGTTGGTGTACATGTTGGGTGAAGAAGCTGCCAAATGGTTTGAAGCTGCTGTTATAACAGCGTTCTCTAACAATGTAGTCTTTCAGATTCTTCTTCAGTGCTCATGTCCTGTCCAGTGTTGTTCTGTCCCTAAGTATTGTTCTGTCCCTTCCAACAATAGCAGTGTGTTGTAATCAACTATAAATTATGCATGATAAAACAAGTTTTATATAGTTTTCATGATTCCAGAGGAAAAGCTATAGTTGTAAAGATAGTATAAGCCAAGGAGCCTGGTTGGAAATGTTTTTTTCTCTCATTTAAAATCCAGGCCCTTATATTCTTTTTCATATTCTTTTCCACTATGGTTTGTCACAGGATACTGAATATAGTTCCCTGTGCTCTACAGTGGGACCTTGTTTATCCACCCTATATATAATAGTTTGCATCTGCTAATCCCAAACTCCCAATCCATCCCTCCTCTCCCTTGGCAACCACAAGTCTGTTCTCTGTGCCTAGTTCATAAATAAGTTCATTTGTGTCATATTTTAGATTCCACATAAAAGTGATACATGAGATTTTTTCTTTGACTTCACTTAGTATGATAATCTCTGTGTCCATCCATGTTGGTACAAATGGCATTATTTCATTCTTCTTTTTATGGCTGAGTAGTATTCCATTGTATACAGGTATCTTCTTTATCCATTCAACTGTCGATGGACATTTAGGTTGTTTCCATGTCTTGGCTATTGTGAATAGTGATGCTGTGAAATAGAGCTGCTTGTATCTTTTCGAATTAGAGTTTTGTCTGGATATGTGCCCAGGAGTAGGATTGCTGGATCATATGGCAACTCTGTTTTTAGTTTAAGGAACCTCCATACTGTTCTCCATAGTAGCTGTACCAATTTACATTCCTGCCATCAGTGTAGGAGGGTTCCCTTTTTGGTCTTCTGACCATTTTTTGATTGGGTTGTTTTTTTGTATTAAGTTGTATGAGCTGTTTGTATATTTTGGAAATTAAGCCCTTGTTGGTCGCATCATTTGCAAATGTTTTCTCCCAGTCTGTAGGTTGTGTTTTCATTTTGTTTATGGTTTACTGTACTAAAGCTTGTAAGTTTGATTAGATCCCATTTATTTATTTTTGCTTTTATTTCTATTTGCCTTGGGAGACTGACTTCAGAAAACATTGGTACGAATTATGCTAGAGAATGCTTATTAGCCTGTGTTCTCTTCTAGGAATGTGATGGTATCATGTCTTATTTTTAAGGTCTTTAAGCCATTTTGAGTTTATTTTTGTGTATGATGTGAGGGCATGTTTTACCGTCATTGATTTGCATGAGGCTGTTGCAACTGTTTTCTTAATTATTATTTACAGGGGGACATCTTTATCCAGGACTTCCCCCTGCAGGTGGATACCACAATCCCCTGATACTTAAGTCCCTTATATAAACTGGTGTAGTACACTCAGCCCTCTGTGTCTGTGGGTTCCACATTATGGAGGGCTGACTGTAGTTTTAAACAGAAACAGGAATCTAGATTTTTAAAAATGTTTTGTCAATTCACAGATATTATTGAAAAATAATTAACTACATTAACAAAAATAGAAAAGTGATCATCTTGATAAACACAGAAAAAACATTTGACAGTTCAGCAACCATTTATGATTTTTAAAGAAGAATCCTAGCACTTAATAAAGGGCAGATTCATTAATCTGTTAAATAATATCTGCAAAAGTAATTGTAGCAAACCTCATACTCAATGGTGAAATACTAGCTTTTGCCTTGAGATTGGGAATGAGACTGGGATGGGCTCTGTCACTCGCTATATGTGGGCATTGCAGGAATGAACTCCCCCCTTACCCTCCACCATCCTTTTCCCTGCCTGCTAGGAAGCTCAGCTAAGCTTCATATTCTGTTCCTGTGTTTTTCACATTAATGAGAGTTGTTTTTCCTCTTCCTCCTTTATTTTCGGACCTTGCATTTGCCTGGCACTAATTGTTAATCTTTTTTTTTTTTTTTTAAATAAGCCTCCTCAACTTTGTTTTGAAGTAGGCTGGGATAAATGTTTCAATCAAGTACAATTCTGTTAACCCTTCTATGGCTTTGGGACATCATTTACTGACATCATTGCTTGGTCTCCTCATTTGTCAAATGTGGATAATTGCTCTTCGTCAGGTTCTTTTATGAAAATCAATGAAGATAGCTATAAAAAATGCTTTGAAAAAGTTGAGTATTAATATATTGGAGAATACAAGGCTTGAATTTTATTCCTGTTGACTCTCTTTGACTCCTTTAAATCTGTTTATATGTGTGGAAGAGTCAACTGTAACTTTGCAAAGAGACAATTAATTTAAAAATCTGAATTATAAAATGTAATTTGTTCCTCATGGTTTACAACTGTACCATATCTTTTGCAGAATCTGTGAGATCCAAGCTGTTGACTGTACTACAATATCCTCATTTACAGTGAGAGAATGTGAGGGCTCCAGTAGGATGGGCTCAAGGCCAAGGCGCTACTTGTTCACGGGCCACACGAATGGCAGCATTCAGATGTGGGATCTGACCACTGCCATGGATATGGTTAACAAAAGTGAGGATAAGGGTAGGTTCCATATGGAAAGGCGTTTGGCACAGAGTAGGCTTTTGACATAAGTGATTATAGTGATGTATATTTTCCTAAGATGTAGGTGGTCCGACTGAAGAGGAGCTACTCAAATTACTGGATCAGTGTGATCTGAGCACATCTCGCTGCGCTACTCCTAATATCAGTCCAGCAACTTCTGTGGTTCAGCATAGCCGTCTTCGTGAATCAAATTCTAGGTAGGTTAAAGAGCTGAATTGATTGCTTTGGGAAAATTGGCTGAGCTATTGTAACCACATAGTTCTTTAAAGCCAAATTTTTCAAAGTACATTTTAAATTCATACTTTATGTTGCTTTTTAATTTTTTTTACTAAATTCCTCATCTATATGCATGTTTCTTTTCATAAAAAAACCATTTTTGGCCCTTTTACTTATTTTGTGAATTGCTGCCAATTTGAATTATTATGTGATCAAGAATTCATTCAAAGGAAATTAGAAAAATCACATGTCCCGTTAGATGGTATGTGGGACTGGTGTTCCTATTGCCTAGGGACATATTAATAAAAATGATTACATTATCTTGTCTAATCTTACTTTGTCATTGTATTAAAAGTACATAATGCCTTAGTATATTGTTTTAGTTAACCATATTTTTAAAAAATTCCAAAATCTGAATTAAGGGCCAAATACTGAAACTGTTGGTTCCACATTGGTTTTAAAGGTGTTTTCCCTAGGTTTTTTTCAGCTATTCAAAAATCTAGCGTCATTGCGAATATATATGTATGGTGTATTATTTGCATTGTTAATTTTGTACACACACATACAGTATAGCATGCTTAAAATACATTTTTATATATGTAAATAAGGATATAGTATTCATTATAAAATTTATATGTTTTAACTGGTAGTTTAATTAATGAGATGTGCCCCTGAAAAATCCCAGAAAGAAATGTGAGCTGTAATTATTAACTGTATTTCAGTCTTCAGCTCCAGCACCATGAAACCATCCATGAAGCAGCTACTTACGGTTCCATGAGGCCTTACAGAGAAAGTCCCTTGTTAGCAAGAGCAAGGAGGACTGAGAGCTTTCACAGTTACAGGGACTTCCAGACTGTGAACTTGAACAGAAATGTAGAAAGAGCTGTCCCTGAAGATGGTAACTTGGGTCCAGTACAAGCTGAAGTGAAGCGGGCAACAGGGGAATGTAATGTGTATGAGAGAAAGTCTCCTGGAACCGAAGTTAAAAGTTTGAGAGAATCAGATAGTGGAGTGGAGGTGCATAAAATAGCTGAAGGTTTTCTAGAATCCAAGAAAAGGTCATCAGAAGATGAAAATGAAAATAAAGTGGAGTTACGGAAGAAAGGAGGATTTGAAGGAGGAGGATTCCTTGGAAGAAAGAAAGTCCCCCACCTGGCATCATCACCAAGTACCTCTGATGGAGGAACTGACTCACCTGGTACTGCATCCCCATCTCCTACGAAGACTACTCCATCTCCTCGGCACAAAAAAAGTGATTCTTCAGGTCAAGAGTACAGCTTGTGAAAACTCAGCAAAATGAGTAGTTTCATTAATTCAGATGAGAGTTAAACTTTACTGGAGTTCAACACATTAGCTTTTACACCAAAACTTTACAAATTAAGATTGGACTTCATTCAGTATCTTTTTGACAGAATTACCTGGGGTAAGGAGATAAAATAACCATATCATCTCTTCAGATCTTTTGGAAATTTTTTTTAGTTTTACAGGCACATTTAGTAGATCATTTGTAAAGCAGGAGTCTACTTCAGTGTTTACTCTGTGGATTTTGGAAGCATAGTACCATGTCTTAATAAGATGGTGCCCATATAGATGAGCATCCCCTTAGAGTGTGGGAACCAACAGACTGCATTCCTAATGTTGATTATGCCTGAGATTTGTCTTGCAATGTTATATTAAGTGAATTACATAATTCTCTTTGGAGCTTAGTCTCCCAACCCTTATTGTGATTGCAAAGTGGTTTACCAGGTATTTAATGAGGTGCTATGTTTGTGAAAAAATATGTAATTCAAAAACACTATTGAATACCAGATTACGCTGTGTAGTAGGAAGTCCTTTAGGATAATTTTACTTTAATTGATTCTCATTGTTGGAGTTCTTAAATCTTAGCAAGCATCACCAATATTAAATATTAAATTGGTCAAAAGTTTAAACTTTCTTTAAAGTTGGAGCAATTGTCTGTGTTTGAACAGATGAAGTAAAAATAATAAAGACAGACAGCTTTGAGTGACCACAAAGGAAAACTGTACCAGTTGCTAGTCAGCCTTGTTTTAGGAGCCACGATATTTTTTTCCTGTGTTAATAATCAAGATAATTAAATTAGAATGTGGCCATTTTGTTAAGCTTGAGACTGCAGTTCTGAATTTTTTGGTTAAAGGTTTTGGCTGCTGTAGAAATATTTTAAATATATTTTGAATTATAAGAACAAAAAAATTTTTGTATTTTTTTCCATTTAATTGGAATGATTTCCAAGTTTCTGCAAATAAGGTAATTGTAAATTTAAAGCATTAAGCATTTATTGGTGAATAATGTATATATTCCCATTCTGAGAAATATAAGTGGATCAAGTCAAAATAAATGAAGTTTCCTATATTGCCAGTGGTTTCACAGCCATTCTCTTGTATTTGTCAATTAAGTCAAATAAAAGTGATTAAGACTGTGTTTTCAAGTTATTCAAGGAACAGTTATCCTGTTTAAAGTGCACCTACCATGAGTTTGTTCATGTCTTTGTTTTTTCCCATAATAAAAGGGAAGGGGAGAGGGAGCAATTTATATGTATGAAAACTAACTTGTATTACCAATGAGGGGAAATATTGTTAGGCAAAGCATAATTTCATTATTACTAAGGATTGTAATTATCTCTTACACCCTTCTTTCTCATTATGATACTCATGTTAAAGTTAGGTGGGCAAGTAAAATTTTACAAATTGAGTGTTTTTACCCAATCTTTTCCAAGAGTAAAAGGCCACTGGAAGTTTTTTTAAAAGAATTATGTAGTAAAATCTTATAAAAAGGCAATTCACTATACCATTGTTCCGTACTATATGTGCATTATACTACAAATCTTTTCTCATTCACTTAACAAGAGCTTGAACCTTGATGTTTGTTATAGCAGGAACTTGAGTCTACTCTGGCACTTAACTTGTAACCTTGAGCAGATTATAATGAAAAAACTTAGGCATAGCAGGGATAATTACCTTATTAGAGTTTTTGAGACTGAAAGGGGAAAAAAACCTCCACAGCCACCTGCACGCCACAACCTCCTCTCTTCCTCATCTGTGCTGTGAACTTCTTTCGAGAGCAGGAACATCTTTAACACTGTCCATCATTGTAAGGAAGAAGAGGCAGATTTTAGAAGAAAGGCCATGTGAGGACTCAGAAGATGGCCACCTACAAGAGCACTCTCACCAGAAACCAACCCTGACAGCACCTCGATTTAAGACTTACAGCCTCCAGAACCGTGAACAGAGAATTTCAGACGAGATGGTGGAGTTGGAGGACCTTTAGCTCACCCTCACCTCCTGGGCACACCAAAATCACAACTAATTGCTGAAAAAACATCAGTAAAAACTAGAATCTCCCCCCAACCCCCCCCCAGAATTCTACATCCAGACATAAAGAAGAAATCATGAGACAGTAGGAGGGGTGCACTCACAGTATAATCAAATCCCATACCACCCAGTGGACAACCCACAAACTGGAGGATAATTATATCACAGAACTTCTCCTGCAGGAATGAGAGCTCTGAGCCCCACGCCAGGCTCCCCAGCCTAGGGATCAGTTATTGGGAGGAGGAACCTCTAGAGCACTTGCCTTTGAAGGCCTGTGGGGCTTGATTGCAGGAGCTCCACAGGACTGGGGGAAATAGGCACTCCACTCTTGGAGGGTGCACACAAGGTCCCACACTCACCAGGTCCCAGGGCAAAAGCCGTGACTCCGTAGGAACCTGGGCCAGACCTACCTGCTAGTCTTGGAGCATCTCCTGGGGAGGCAGGGGCAGCTGTGGCTCTTGGGGGGCATAAAAGCTGGTGGCAGATGTGGGGACCTGTGTAAACTCTGGACGGAGTCAGACATTTCGAGTCCTTGGCACCAAGACCCTGCCCCACCCAACAGCCTGTAAGCTCCAGTGCTGGGATGCCTCAGGCCAAACAACCAACAGGGTGGGAAACAGCCCCACCTATCAGCAGGGTTGCCTAAAGACTTCTGGACTCACAGCCACCTCTAGACACACCGCTTGACAGGGTTTAGCCCACCAGAGGGCCAAGACCCAGCTCCACTCACCAGTGGGGAGGCACCAGCCCTTCCCACCAGGAAGCCTGCACAAACCTCTCTACCATTCTCATCCACTAGGGAGCAGACACCAGAAGCAAGGAAACTACAGTCTTGCAGCCTGTAGGACTGAGTCCACAGCACAGATGAGAACCTACCCTGGGACCAACTAGCCCCTGGCCCTTGGATGGCAAGAGGAGAGTGTACTGCTGGGACACGTAGGACATCCCCTACAGGGGGCCACTTCTCCAAGATAGAGAAACATAACTAAGCTAGTACATACGTAAAAATACAAATAGAAATTTAAACAAAATGAGACAGCAAAGGAATATGTACCAGATGAAGGAACAAGATAAAACCTCTGAAGAACAACTGAGTGGAGATAGGCAATCTACCTGAGAAAGAGTTCAGAGTAATGATTGTAAAGATCCAGGAACTCAGGAAAAGAATGGAGGCACAGACCGAGAAGACACAAGAAATGTTTAACAAAGAGCTAGAAAAATCTAAAGAATAAACAGATGGACTAGAAGGAATCAATAGAATAAATGAGACAGAAGAACGGATAAGTGAGCTGGAAGGCAGAATGATGGAAATCACTGCCGTGGAACAGAATAACAATGAAAAGAGGACAGTCTAAGGGACCTCTGGGACAACATTAAATGCACCAATATTTGCATTATAGGGGTCCCAGAAGGAGAAGAGGGAAAGGGCCTGAGAAAATATTTGAAGAGATAATAGCTGAAAACTTCCCTAACACAGGAAAGGAAACAGTCACCCAGCACAGAGGGTGCCATAAAGGATACCCAAGGAGGAACATGCCGAGACACATAGTAACTGATAAAACTGAAAGACAAAAAAAAAAATATTAAAAGCAACAAAGGAAAAGCAACAAATAACACACAAGGGAATCATCATAAGACTATCAACTGATTTTTCAGTGGGAAGTCTGCAGGCCAGAAGGTACAATATATTTAAAGTGATGAAAGGGGAAAACCTACAACCAAGAATACCCAGCAATGCTCTTCTTCATATTTGACAGAGAAATAAAAAGCTTTACAGACAAGCAAAAGCTAAAAGAATTCAGCACCACCAAACCAGCTTTACAACAAATGCTAAAGGAACTTCTGTAAGTGGAAAAGAAAAGGCCACAACTAGAAACAAGAAAATTATGAAGTGGGAAAGCTCACCGGTAAAGGCAAAAATATAGTAAAGGTAGGAAATCACTCACACACAGATATAACATCAAAACCAGTAATCGTGAGAGAAGGAGAGTACAAGTGCAGGATACTGGCAATGCATTTGAAATTAAGAGATAAGCAGCTTAAAACAATCATGTACATATATATAAACTGCTATATCAAAACCTCATGGTAACCACCAAAGAAAAATCTATAATATACACATGAAAAAGAAATCCAAACACAACACTTAAGATAGTCATTAAATCACAAGAAGACAAAAGAGGAAAGGAAGAAAAAAGATCTACAAAAACAAGTCCAAAACAATTAACAAAATGGCAATAAGAATATACATATAGAAAATTACCTTAAATATAAATGGAGTAGATGCTCCAACCAAAAGACATAGACTGGCTGAATGGATGCAAACACAAGACCTGTATATATGCTGTCTACAAGAGACCCACTTCAGATCTAGAGACACATAGACTGAAAGTGAGGGGTTGGAAAAAGGTATTCCATGCAAATGGAAATCAAAAGAAAGCAGGAGTAGCAATAGTCATATCAGAAAAATAGACTTTAAAATAAAGACTGTTAAAAGAGACAACCAAGGACACTACATAATGATCAAGGGATGATTCCAAGAAGACACAACAATTGTAAATATATGTGCACCCAACACAGGAGCCCTTCAATATATGGGGCAAATGTTAACAAACATAAAAGGAGAAATCGACAGTAACACAATAATACAGGGGGAATTGAACACCCCACTTACCTAAATGGACAAATCATCCAGACAGAAAAGCAATAAGAAACACAGGCCTTAAATGATGCATTAGACCAGATGGACTTAACTGATATTTATAGAGCATTCCATCCAAAAACAGCAGAATACACATTCTTCTCAAGTGCACATGGAACATTCTCCAGGATGGATCACATGCTGGGCCACAAAGCAAGCCTCGGTAAGTTTAAGAAAATTGAAATCATAAGTATCTTTTCTGACCACAACACTATAAGATTAGAAATCAACTACAAGGAAAAACTTCAAAAAACAAATACATTGAGAAAAAAAAATGAAATATGTATATACTTCGTGTGATTGATGAAAAACAACAGAATTATAATTCTCATGATGAAAAGTTTTTCCAGGAATTCTGAAATTACTTCAAAACAACACTCAAGTATTTTCATATCACTAGGATAAGTATTGTTATCCTCATTCAAAATGAGATCACCAAGACCCACTGAGGATAAATAATTTCACCATAAGTCTCCTTAGCTCCTGAGCCACCTTGTGAACCCACATCTGTTTCAGTAGCCTATGGTCTTTTCCTGGCTTTCTCATCCAGGCTTCTATATCAGAGTCACCTGAGATTACCTGCTAAATTTGAATCTCTGGTGGTTGGGACTCATGTTTTGAAAAAAAGTGTTAACAGTTGATTCTAACGTTCATCTAATTCATCAATGGTTGAGAGATTATTCAGAACATCCTTTTTTCTTAAATGGGCTCACCTTTATCATTTATGTGTAAACTAAATACAATTCAGAGCTGTTAGTATTTTATCATAAATATATTAAATCAAACGGCTCACATTTAAATATTTATTAAGCAAACCATCTTTAGATTAATTTACATGATATTTGTGCATTGGAAATAAACTATTCATGTGTGACATAATTAATTCCTTCTCACTGAATTATTCCACCTGGCCTATGTTTTATTTACAGGTTGTTCAGATTGAATTATATTGATGCCAACATGGTTTTTAGATCAGCATAAGGTACCATAACAGATTCATATTTAGGTTTTCCATTTAGTAGAAATGGCAATAGATCATCTATAAATACAATTCTTGGTAGAGCTTATAAAAGCATAGGTGTGTACTCTTATCAAACAGTTAATATCAGGCATAACAAAGCAGTTCTTAAAATTTAAGCTGAGTATGTGGCCTCTTCAAGTGAGGGGACATGAGTCAGATTTAGAGAGAGCCACCTGTTGTAGTCTCTGTAAAGGAGAAGTGGGCCAGTACTGGAGTCCCTGTGCACAGCATGTATTTTTCCAGGTTCTTTACATAACTGGTTCTCAACATTAGGAATATCTGAAAGCTTTTAAAGGTACTGATGCCTCAGCACCACCCGAGACCAATTGAATCAGAATCTCCAGGGGTGAGTCCAACTGTTGAACAGGGGCTTGGCACACATTACCACTTAAAGTAGCAAGACAACAT